CTCATTCGTCCAACGGCGAAGATGTTGTTCCAGTTGCCAGACGAGTGCGGCGTCAAGGCAAGGCTGCACACGTCGCACCCACCAGCATGCATTGGCACAATTCGCGTAAAGAGATTTGACGAGGGCGTGCATCTCCTCTACGCGCCCCACCACCGCCTCTGCCTTTTGGACGGTATGACTGCGCAGCTGGGTAATTCCGCGCTCCATGTCGGCGGTGACTCCACGTACTTGAGCCACGGCTGCACAGAAGGCATAGACGCGTTCTGAGAGCTCCTGCGTAAATTGCTGCAACATTCCTTCATCGGACCAGCTCAGCTGAGCCCCATCAAGAAAGGATTGATGCACGCTGGCATATTCTTCGGTTGCGAGGTTAACCATCAGTTCATCCTCGCCGTTGAGTGCCCTCTCAAAGGCACAAATAAGCTCAGATAGACAGTTCGCAATGCGGAAACGTTCTTCGTTATTTGTGAAAAAAGATCGCACATCGGCCACAAGCTGAACATGGCTCTCAAGCAGTTGCATACCATCTAGCACGTGCAGATCCCGCAGAAGTGCAGACATGTCACGGGGAATATGCGGCATAACAACACGTCTCAAGCCAACAGCAGTGGTCCCTCCATTATTGCTGTTTACACTGCCACTTATACAAATATTACCACAGCCCTTCCTGCCCGATAGCTCGACAACATGCCAAAGAGGGCCTTTCATCGTCATCGTGCCAGGGGATAAGTTCAGTGCAGCGATGCGTCGTAGCACATCTTCACACCACTGCACTACGCGTTCTTGAAGTCTCTGTGAAATGATATCGCAGAAATTACGCACATCTCGTACTTCACTTTGCTCCACTCCGCGGCCGCTCCCCACACGAAGAATCACCAGACGTGACTTGGCGCGGCTAATCGCGTGTGCGTCACTCTCCTGCACAAAATTTTGTGCGTCGTGGATGTATGGGTCAGCGGACCACTTTGGCTTATCCTTTCCGTAAACAGCGTCAAGATACGCCAAGGCGTATGCCGTGCCGTACACCTCGGGATCACCGCCAAGCTCCTTCGTCATAAGGTCATCTAGCGGGGCGCCAAGGAACTGTGCGAGGGACTCATCGAGGTACCAACAGTGCTCAATGGTGCGAAGGTTCAGCAACTGATGCCACCCATGCTCATATATGGCATCTCGACGCACAAGATAAGTCTCAATCTCCCGCTGTACAGATCTCTCCCAGAGCATGCGAGCAACAACGGGCGTCACACCAAAACGGGCGACGGTTATTCGTACGGCATCGCGGCAACTCTCCGCGTCAAAATAACGCTCTCGAACGTTTTTCATCTCGCGGTTGATTTGCTCTAGTAGGGCCATCTGAAACCCAGCAACAACAGCCTGCACCTTTTCACGTCGTAGTGGATGGAAACGGGAGTAAATGCGGTAAAGCGATGGGCCACAGCTTGTATTAGCCGCATACCCTGACAGTGTCCCCACTGCGGCTGCTGATTCAGAGGAATAGGAGGCGGATGCCAGAGAAAGGCCACTACTACTCATCTCCTGCGCCGTTGCCAGCATGGTGCCAACAAGGAGTGCGAGACGCTCGTCGATTTTTGCCAGCCGTCGTTTGTACGCTGCCAGCGCACGATGAAACTCGGCAGTCCCCGCTGGAGTCACATCCCACAATCTTCCAGTTGCCCCTGTTGCGGTGGCAAAGCAGTCATACGCGTCTGTAAGTTCCGCATGGAATGAGCACGTCATGCCCGCCTCCAGGCTGCCGTCAGCAAAGGTCCGTTTGACGGCACGCTCGTAGTGAAAGTGCTCATTCACAAATCTCCACAGTTGCCGCGCGCGTGAAAGGACCAGGGCGTGGTACTTCTGCTTCTGCTGCTGCGTGCCGCCCCGCGTGGGTGATGGCTGTGACGGCATGTGAATTTCGGACTGAAATAACTCCATTGTCTGCATGTAGCGTTGGTGCATATCCTGAAGCACTTGAATGTGGCGTCGCAGGAACTGCAGCTGTGCCTCCGGCGTTTCCATGCGCAACACATCATTTCTAGACACAAGCACCAAAAAGCGCTCCGCCAACTCCCGCACAATACTTTCCAGCAGGCGAACACTCTGCGAGGCCGGATATGTTGACGGGCGCACCATCGCGGAGAACAGCTCTTCCACCAACGCCGCGTAGTTTTCCCCTTCCACCTCGTCAATCTGCTGGAATGGCACACTCTTCAGGTGATTCAAGTAATCACGCACAAGTTTCGCATGCATCTTAAATTCCACCTCATAGCTCGTTTCCACACGATTGCCAAGTAGACGGTGCACCAACTGCCACTCGCGACAGTGCAGTTGCTTTTGCACCTGCTCTACCCAACGCAGCACGGCCTGCCAGTAAGCCACCTCATCACGTGCGCTCACAATATCCTTACCCTCAAACTTGGTGTCCAGAACGCTGCGGCACTGAGCGCAAAGAGTCATGACTTGGCGCAGAAACACAGTATTGGTGCACTTCTCAAAACCAAGAATCTCCACCAGCTGCTCAACGTCCGCTTCCGGGTGCGCTGCACAAAGCTCAAGAAGTTCGGCATGCACAAATATTTTCAAGTCCACCTCGACAAAGACCTGGCAGTGAGAGCGGACAGAACTCAGAAAGTCTTGCAACTGCGACCGCAGCTTGACCTCATGCTGGGATCGTAGAAGCGGTTCATAGACGGTCTGCAAAAGCGTCTGCAAGCTTTCTAGTGGCCGTCGCATATCTACTGCCTGGATACTCAGATTCCGCAGCGTCAGAGGTCCTCTTTCCGACACTGCCTCCAATCCACCGGCGGGATGACGCAGTAAGATGAGAACACAGCACACCAAAGTGGATGGTGAGGAGCCCGTGGCGCTTGCTGCTCGGTCGATGCTGGCCGTGGCTGAAGGAGCGAGCCCGAGAGGAGCCTCCGCGGGTCGCTGCAAGACAGCTGACAAGTCACGCGTTGCCACTACACGATGCCCCGCCGCCACGCCAACCCCCGCGTTATGCTCCACAAACTCACACACCGCCAGGTGTGGCTTTGTCACTTGACTGCTGCTATCGCCGCGGGACAGCGGGGGTTCCTCCCCGTCCGCATTCTTCTCCGAGCCCGCGCGATCCGTGAAAGAACATCGGAAGCCGACGTCGCCCACCCGCCGCAACGCCTCTCGCACCTCCTCCACCGTCGCCGACTGCATCATGGCGGCGATGACGGCAATGACATCCAGCGAAAGAGAAGGGTCTCCGCCACCCGCAACTCCCAAGGTGACTCCTGACATGCGAAGCAAACACGCCGCAGCCCTTTCTTCCTTTCCTTTTTTTTTTTTTGTTTTCTTCCCCTGTTTCTCTTGCTTTTTCCCCCTTTTTGTTTCCAGATATTGCGATGCAAACGGATACCAGAGCGCAGTTCTTTCCTTTTGTTCTCTCTCTCTCTCTCTGTTCCACTCTTTTTCTTAATTTCTCTTTTTTCTTCCGCCTACCAATTCCCTCGCAGGCGGAGGTAATTCCCTGCCCTCCTCTTTCTTCTTATTCGTGTGTGTGTTTCCTATACTCCTGTCGTGGATTAGTCGTGTGACGGCACTATTTATGCGTAAACAAATGGGTTTGTGTTATGCAACAATGCTCGCTATTGTTGCGAGTATCACGCACATGTATAAACAAATGCTTCTGCTCACTAAGCATAGACAATAAATAGAAAATAATAATACCCAAATAGAAAGGAAAAAAAAAAAAAAAAAGGAAAAGAACAAAAACAAACACACACACACATATATACAAAAAAAAAGAAAGATCATACATACCAAAAGTAATGCATAATATATATATATATATATATTTCCACGTATACGCAAGTGTATATTATTGTACTCGGATGCATGTGAGCTTTACGATGGCGATTTATCAATAGTAACAAAAAGTTCAAAAAGCCGTATCCAAATAATTAAAAACGGGGGAATAAGAAACAACAACACGACTACAAACATATGTACGTACATATATATATATATAGACTTTAAAATGCATAAGAGAAAAAAAAAACTATTGATTTCTCGTATCTGAAAACTCATTCTGGTCTGTGTTTTCATTTAGTACGATGGTGGCATGAATGGAGCGCTGGCAAATGCAGCAGTGGGTCAAAGTTTCCACGCAGCCAAGACAAAGGGCAAAATGCGCACATGGCAGGGTAATAACGTTCGCCTCGGTGCGCATGCATAGCCAGCACATGCGCACTAACTGATGACGTACACCCGTTTGTGGTGACGATGCAAGCGAGTAGGACGCGGCGCGCATGCAGTATTTTGACGGCCACTCACTTCTTTCGGAAGCCGTTATGTCCTCACGCCCCTTGGTGTGACCTCCCGAAGAGAAGTCGTTGATGCCACAGCGTCCCATAAGAACTCGCTCCTCTCTGTACTGTACAAATGTGCGATCCGAGACCTCTGTGACGGCGTAGAGATCATTTCCAATGCGCACGTACTGCAGCACTACCGACATCACCGCGCCAATTTTACTCCGCATAGCCTCCAAGAGAGCTGTAATGTTTTCAGGCTTGGTTGAGCCCGGCTGCTGCCGCCTCAAAGAGGTTTGAGCCTCCTCCGTTCCAGGTAAATGGTATGCCTCACCCATCTCACGGCACTCATTGGGATCATTCAACCTCAGTGAACTTCCCGGTGGGCTATTACGAGGCGTTCCTCCCCCTGGCATTGCTGACGCAGATTTTGGAAGTAGACTTTCCATTACGTTCGCGGTGGAATACACACATACGAAACAATCTGACGTCTGCTGTCTGGTATGGCTTATTACCTGTCGTTTGTCACGCCCAGAGTTGCGGCTTTCTTGCGGTGTTCGTCTATATAACATGAGAGCAAACGTCAATGGGTGTCTTGGAATCAATTCTGTTTCTTTTTGTTTCTTCTCATAATGTCGGCTTTCTCTTCCCTTCTTTTCACCTTCCTTCTCGCGTTTTTTCCCCACTTTTTCTCCCCCTGCATCTTTTCCCTCTCCTCCTCCTTCCCCTGCGTTCACTTCGTTGCCTGAGGCGGGAGTGAGGCCATTTTTGAAGCAGTTCTGAAAGGCAGCAAGGGAAAGATCCACAGCGTCCACCTGCAAAGAAGCCGGCGCCGAAGTAGACGTCGTCGTTGTGGTGATAATGGCATTTGCATCAGACTGCAGGGCATCGGGGGTAATAAGTATGGATCCCTCGTACGCCCTGGGAATAATGGGACCTTGTTTCGGCTCTGTTAAAAAAATATCTACACGTTCCCGCGGTCTTCTACAATGACCCTTTTTGGAGGTTGCTGCCTTGTTTGCATTTCTATTAGTCCCGGGAGCATCATCGACGTTGGTATCGGGGACGTTGACAGGGTCGTAAAAAGTGACTGCATTCTCCGCTGGGAGTGGAGCCCCATCTACATCCGTAACATCACCCGCCTCCTCCTCATCATCCGTGTTCATCGCCTGTGGTTCTGTATGGGGCATCATCTTTCCGGTTTCCACGGAATCCCGTTCGTTGCACTCATCGCTCGTAGAAGAATCCGTCCATGTCGGGGGAGATGTCGATGAAGGCAGCGTGGAGGTGGATGGAGAAACCGCCGTAACAAACATGCAATCATCATTGGATTCCGTCAAATCTCGTGCCGCATCATTCATAATGGAAGCCGGCACAAATTTACTCATCTCAAATCCTTCCTTCTCTTTTTTTCCTCTTTCCCCGCGTGTGCGGCCTCCACTTGCAAAGCACGCAGTCTCGGAGACATCTACAAACGTCTCTGTAAACGCGTTGGATTTTGTGCTGCAACACATTGAGCGTGTCCGCCCAGCCAATGTTGAGAAGGAGCCCAATGATCCTTGTCGTGAAGGCAAACCTTCCCCGACTGATGTCATGGAGTTCACCAACATGAGATGACGACGTCGCCGTGATGGTGGATTTGTTTGCGTCACCGAGTCTTCATAAAAAGCCCCCGACAACGGCATGCAAGGAGTGTGATCACCAAACTGAAAGCGTGCACCCAGCCGCTGTCGATTGTGCCAGTCAAGAAGCCGCGCTCGCTCGCGTGCACAGTTTTCTTCATCCTCGGCGGTGTAATAACAATGGTACATGAGGGAGCCACGGCCAAAGGTTCGTGTTGTCCCCACTGTGACAGCCCGAATGATGTCCACATCGTCCGCACCAAATATGCACGCACAACGCAGTTTGACGGGTAAATCGGCACCTTCACTACCGTCATCGGCAGCCACCGAGCTTATTTTGGGATCCTCAAATGTCATTGTGTCGCTGCGAGAAAGCGCCCCACAAAATGCGGAGGAGGAATCTCTTCCCAATGCTTCTATAGATGCGTTCCCTAGTTGGGTACGAGAAAGATTGGGAGCCTCAATTCGCGCCGCCGTCTCCACTCGGAACTGAAGCGAGAGCTGAGAGCGGGCCATCAAGCGCCCTACCCCTGCGTTGCCTTCCTGTTTGTGATAGCCGCCGCCCAGGTCGCTGAGAGACAGCTCACGGTACTGATGGTAACCACCTTTGCTGAATGAACCCATCATTTGCTGGGAGCGTGCGGCAGAGGGCAGAGCCGTCGTTTCCATTGCGCATCCACAGGAGTGACGCGCCACGTGCGCACTGCCTCCGCCACCAGAGTGTACGAAAGATGACGATGGGATGGTGTTAGAGGAGGCCTCTTTGGCGTCGGTGTCATTCTCCGGGCGCACCTCAGGGAGGAAGAAATCACTGTGTCGCGCTGTCGTGGTGCTCCTCAGCTTCACAAGGACTTTTGCAGAAGGCACGGGGTGAAGTTGCAGCGGCAACGTAAGGCCATTCACCTTCGGTAACCCGTGCAACACAACCGCCCTGTTTGCCATGTGCGTCAGCGCCACCTCATACACCGGGCGTGTGGTGAAAACCAAAAACGGAATGATGATGGGCGGTCGCTTCTGATGGATTGAGCGACGAATGCGCCAAAGCTCCAGCAGCGTCACGATGTTCCCGATAAGAGCCAGAGCCAAATACACAAAGGCCAATAGAATCAAATAATTGACGATGGCTGAAAACATTTCCGCTAAATTCTACAGCACAGTCGTGCACATGGATGGGGCCTTGCCCACTTATTTCTACCAAACAGAATGCGGAGAGGGGGACACAACAGAGAATGCGAGCTTACAGTTTGGGCCCACCGCGCCCCCGACATCTTTCCCTCCCTCCACCCAAACGCCAACAATGAGCAGCAGGAGACATGCCACTTGTGTTATGAATTCCGGGTTCGCCGTGAACGAACGAGGTGGCAGCCTCTTTGGTGCTCCACAACCGCCGGAATCCCCCATCCGTGTGGAAGAAAGCGGTCTTATTCGTAGGGGGTTGTGCGAGGGGAAAAAGAAAAAAGAAGAAAAAACAAAAAACAAACAGTGGCCAGTGCAGCTCGAAAAAAAAAAAAAAAAGAAAAAAGAGAACAGACGCACGCCGCATACATAAACAACAAAACTTATCTCCGCCCACCACTACTTACGAATTAGCATCTCCTTTGTACATCTCTCTCTCTCTCTCTCTCTCCACCCAACGACCCGGAAACCCCGGGGTAAGTTGTGTCCAACAACAACAACAAAAAGGGGTCGGTGGAACAAAAAAGTAAAAAAAAATTATCCACCTCCTTCCGGGGGGCTCCGTCACGACCCATCGAAAATTCACCGGAGACAAAAAACAACAACAACAACAACAACAATAAAATAAAAGCCATCCACCGGGAAAAACAAACAAACAAACAAACAAAGTAGTCAACAAGCACAAATCAGTATGATTGTCTACATTCGTTTCAAAAACCTCTACAGCAATAAACACACAGACAAACAAATACACTTTGTGGTAAATCCTAAAGAGTTTGACAATTTTTAAATTATTATTATTATTATTATTATTTTTTTACTTCGCGTTGCATGTTCTAAAACAAATCGATAATCTTTCCGTCGCGCCCCTCTGCAGCGCTTTACGCCGATTTCAACCTCCATATTTCTCCCCTCTCTCTCTCTCTCTCTGCCTCACATACACATAAAAATTGCTGAATAAAAAGCCTACATCACACAACAACACGGGGAATCGCTCTCTGGACTTTGAGTCACAGGCACTGCGAACTTCATCGCTGGAACACGTTGTGCCTTATGAACCGCCATTTCTATTGCCAAAAGCGTCAAATCAAGAAGTTGCAAAAGTGTTGGAGGAGAGCCGTTTGCTGCCGCATCTCTTGCACGAATGACAACATTTCCTACAAGAACATTGAGTTCCCTGTGTATATTTGTGAGTATGCGCTCAACTTCTGTTGCCATTGACAAATCAAGCGTAATGCCAAGTCGCACCTTCCTTAACTGCTGCTCGGCCGCTATTCGAAGCTCCCGCTCTTTATGTAATTCCCGAAGTAACACCGCTGCTGAACTATTGTTTCCATCCATATCCAATGAGACTTCTCTAGGTGTAAGCCGGGGGCTATTAAAACTGGGAAACATGTCCTCCACTTCGGAGAGGGCGGAACAAAAGCCTTCATCTTCGTCTAAACCCCTACGAAGGACGGTTGAACGGCGGAGGGAAGTACATGTTATAGAATCAAAGTGACTGCTTGTACAGCGGCTAAGGAACTGTTGTGCCTGCGGCGAGCCGTTCCCATCGGGGTTTAATGTGGCGGCCATTTCTCGGCGTTGCAGGTGCTGGTTCCAGTCGTTGATGTTTACAAAGGACGGTGGCAACTGCCATAAGGGTCGTGTCTTGGCGTCTTCCAAAGACAAATAACTCCTGACGTTAAACCAGTGAGAAAGAACGGCATCGGCAAAATTATCGGGCGATTCCACTGACGTGTTGCTGCCGCCCAACTCCTGGATCAGCACAGAACGGTCAATATACTTCTGAATATTCCCCCGTGTGACCATCTGCACCACACGTTTTTCTTCCCCTGGATTGTCACCAAAGGCAGCTTTAATTCCCTGACGCACATCCCATGAGGCCTCAAAGATCAGCAGCAGCCCGATAAAACGAGGATAATATTTCTTCATGATGCTACGGACGGCATGCGCGTTTGAAAGTGCTGCCTGGCTGGCATGCCACGATGAGACCTCTTCATTCACCAAGAGGATGATCTGCTGTTGGTGTAACGAATGCAACGTGTCGCCATTCCTACTGCCATGCGATTGGCGACGATGGCGCCCGTGTGCAGTACGATAACATGTACTCCATGACAACCGACAGAAAGCGCTGCATGTCTTGGGCGTCAAGCCCGAACTGAATGAAGCGATGGGCCCTGACGTACAGCACCGGACGACCCAACACGTCACGGCCAATGACAGAAACCGTTCCACTGCGCAAGGCTTCCAGCACTGGAGCAGTAATATATAGAGAAAGCAGACTCATCTCGTAGGAACGTCGTTGCTTCAGCAGCGCCACCGCCTCCGAGACGGAGAGATGCACCGCGGACAAATACCGGAGGAGGAAGGCGTCAACGGAGGCGTCAAGCGTCACGGAGGGCGTCCAGCCGAGAAATTTTTTGAGCTCCAACAGCACCTGCTGCTCTCGGCTGGAGCAAATTTTCTCCGCGCTCTCATCATACAACCGCCACCCCTCCGTTCCATCAGCGGGTGAATTCTTTGCTCCCTCCACCATCACCAGCAAGAGGGACAACGAAAATGACAGTCACGTCGAGACACAGTCGGGACGTGCGGGCAAAAGTATTCTGCTCTTTTTTGGCTCTGAATTGCACTCAGGGCAAAACAAAAGAGAAAAAACAAAAGAGAGAAGCAAAAAAAAAAAAAAAAAAAAAAAAGAAATTTCAAGTTATGCACACAAACAAACATGTGAATCCATCCAGTTGGACGGAAGACAATTCAACCGAGCACTCCGGTAAAGCAAGTGCCACCGTCAATAAACACCACCACCACCACCACCACCACCACCAAAACAACAGCAACATCAAAAACAACAACAACAACAACAACAACAGTAAGCAACCACGCATATTTATCTGTTACGGTTGCCCTATTTTTGCGTACTTACTCAAGCAGCATCATGCAGTACGTATGTCGCAGCGTAAAGTACATACAACAACCCAATCCCATCCAACTGCTATAGCCGCAGTATTTCATGCGTTTATGAAGTTTAAACTGCTGCATCGAAGAAAGCATCCACAGCCACGACGCCACCGTTTCCAATTGGAATACGTTCTTCTCCTCTAGACTCATCCCTGCCGCCACCTGACGACGTTTTGCCGAATCCTCAATCTCAAACACTTTGCGTACCTGCATATTAAGAAGGAAAGTGGTACCAGAGGTCCACATGGAAAGACTTGTGAGCGCCGTGCCCTGACCGCGCACATGCATGAGACCACCAAACGTGTAGGCAGAAAGTGCCAGCAAAACATCGGCAACCTTATGCCTCGCATTGCTCCGCAAAAAAGCAGTTATACCCTGCTCCAACTCTTGCCTCTGCGCCGCCCCCTCCACAATGCGAGAAAGATCCTCCTCCACCGACATCCCATCCGTCTTCTTGCCCGTAGGCGTCACCGCAGTGTTCGTGTGGGTCATGTGCACAGGACAGGGCCCAAACAAAAGTTGAAGAATAAACACAACCAAAACAGTGGAAGACCGCGGCCTTCCCCTTTCTCTTCTAAAGACGCCTGAGGCTCTTAAAAGTGTATGTGTGCGGTGGTAAATAAAAAAAAAAAAAAAAAAAATAAGCCTTATCTTTATTGTTTTTATCGGCAATGATTAGACAGCCACCACCACCACCAACACCGCTGCCGCTGCTGCTGCCAGAGCTGCGGCGGTCCGATCGGTTATCTGTCGTCTGGGGTCCATGGGAAAACGGGGTGTGTGTCGTAGAGAATAAAGAAAAAGATGCAAGCAAAGACGTGGGACACACCGACAGAAGTAAATGACACGTGCCTGAGAGAGAAAGAGAGCAAGCGAGCGTCAGTACAGAGCCGCGACGCCTCTCTCCCCCCCCAGCAAACACAACCGCAAGCCAAAAGAAAACTACAATCGGCGAGGGTCATACACAGACACAGAGAGAAAAAGAAGAAAAGAAAGGGATGTACACATCATCTCGTATTTATTTCATCAAACTTAAAGGGGAGTACAAACAGGAAAAAAAAAAAAAAAAAGGACAGAGATGAGAGTGGGCAGAGTCAAATAAAACATTTACAACGACACGCCACCGTGACTGACAGGGTAATGGAAGATACACAACAACCCTTTCCCATCTCGCCACCTTCCTCTTTCTCCCTCGCTCTATGTGCACACAAATCAGCTCCTTGAAAGAAGCCGTTCACGCCAAAGAAAAAAAAAAACACAACATTGCAGACGCCGTCAAAGAAACAAGAGCCAGGCAAAAAAAAAGAAGCGGAAAAAAATAATACCCAAGGCTTTTTCTTCCCTCATCGACCGTGCAGCTGTAACCGTCTCTCTTCTTGATGCTTTAGATACTCGTGCCAGAGTTGTGTCTCATTGGCAAATCGAGCACACTCCAAATCCATTTCCTCGCGAAGCTGCTTCAACGCCGCCGCACGATCCAAACCGGCAGTAGGAGGAGGAGCGGCGTCCAAACAGGGTTGGGGTGCATTCGATGCGTCTGCGGCAGGTCTCTCTCGCTGTGGCGCCGCCGCCGCAAATGCACCGTCAGTCATTCGTGGTGGTGAAAAATAACGAGGGGCAGATGACGGCTTAGCAAGGGGGACAGTACTATGCTGTGAAGCCGTTTCCAAACAACAAGTTGGCCGCGAGGCATTCACAGAAGACAGTTGTGCACCTCTCGTGTCTGACGGCAGGGGTCGAGCAGCCGCGCTCGAAGAGACGACATTCATAACTGCCTGTTGAGCACCATTTCGTAACTGCTCAATATACGCCTGTAGTTCTTCCAGGCGCTGAACACTGAATCGGTGCTGTTGCTCGATAGCGTCGCAGCGCATCTTCCACCGACGCAGCTCTTCTTTTTCTTCTTGAGCTCCAAGAACTTCCGACTGCACGGAATGTGTTTGCAGTAACCGTGTCAGTTCATTTAACTTTGCCTTCTGCTCTTCCTGCGCCTTTCGAACTGCCATGAGCTCTTCTTCTTTTGCATAAATTAGACTGAGTGCCTGGGTTAACTCTCTATCTCGTTCCTGTTGCCACTGACTCAAGTTTGCTCGAGCAGTCTCTTCAACAGCCAATGGTGGAACGGAGTTTTTAGCACCAAGAATTTGTGCTTCAAGTCTTTTACATTGGGATTCGGCAGCTGCCACCCGCCGTATCTCCGCCTCTCTCGAAAGCAATACATGCTGCAAGAGCGCACGGTGCTGTGGATCCAAAGAAGATCCAAAGTGCTTGTCCACCCATGCCTTCATCGTCCCTTCTGTCGATCCCCATGGTACTCCCTTGGACGCAAATGGTGGTGCTTCTGGCAGCTCGTGTCTCAACTGGGGTATCGCTGGCGCCGTGGCCGTTGATACTCGCGGAGATGGTGGCACGGTGTAGACCAAAGGCGGCGGTGGTAGTGGGGGCGGTAATTCCGCCTGGGCTGGCGCTTTCGGTTTCGGCTGTGGAGCCGACTGCGCCTTTTTCCCCGTGTCCATCTTGTAGGCGGTCATCACTTCCGCCGGAAACGGTGACAAATTGGGCTGTGACACTATTGTGTGTTCCATCCTTCTTTGGAGAGGAGTAGGCAATCGTTGTACGGCAGATGCCGGGCTGGAAAAGGAGGCTTCCACAGGCTCTACTATGTTTTCATACATCGCCTCCAGCATTTCCTGGTCGTCCTGACGAAGACGGACCAACAGCTCCAATATTTGTCCATGGGTTTTCGAAGCCCGCTGCTCTTCTTGTTCGTAAGCAAGCTTTTCCTCCAGCCGCTGCTGCTCCAAGTTGCGCACATAGGCGTCGGCATTTTCCAACAACAACTTCTCTCGCAGCGCATTCATAACATCCGCAGGCGTTGGTTCAGGAGTTCCCGCCGCTAAAGCCGGCTGCACAACGGATATGGCCGCGGGAACTGGCGTCGAAGTTTGTGCTGTCCCTGCCGAAGTCATTGCAGCTCCTGCAGCTTCCGACAAGGTGTTCGGCGTTGGCTGCACAACGGATGTGGCCGCGGGAACTGGCGTCGAAGTTTGTGCTGTCCCTGCCGAAGTCATTGCAGCTCCTGCAGCTTCCGACAAGGTGCTCGGCGTTGGCTGCACAACGGATGTGGCCGCGGGAACTGGCGCGGAAGTTTGTGCTGTCCCTGCCGAAGTCATTGCAGCTCCTGCAGCTTCCGACAAGGTGTTCGGCGTTGGCTGCACAACGGATATGGCCGCGGGAACTGGCGTCGAAGTTTGTGCTGTCCCTGCCGAAGTCATTGCAGCTCCTGCAGCTTCCGACAAGGTGCTCGGCGTTGGCTGCACAACGGATGTGGCCGCGGGAACTGGCGTCGAAGTTTGTGCTGTCCCTGCCGAAGTCATTGCAGCTCCTGCGGCTTCCGACAAGGTGCTCGGCGTTGGCTGCACAACGGATGTGGCCGCTGGAACTGGCGTCGAAGTTTGCGGGGAGGCGGATGATTCCAAAAAAGAAACTTGGTGTGCAACTACTGGCGCACAGACAGATGGTGGAGATTTTACTACATGTGAACTGCTAGGCTGCGGCATGGAAAATGACACACTAACATTTGGCAGGCTAGCAAGAGAGAAGCCGCTCATATGAACGATCGGTGCAATCCCGGTGGTGTGCGCGTGTTGCGTAGCGGCAGCTGCATCAATAGTTACCTTCGAGGTCTCGGCTGAAATATCTTCCGTGCCTTGTCGTTTTGGAGACGGTATCTTTTGCGGTGAGGCCACAGAGACCGGGTGCGGAATTGACTGCAGACTCTGCTGTGCCGCTGTCTGTCCTGCTGACAGAGCAACAGGCAAAAGGGAGGGCATGCCTCTGCGGAGTGGCTGACGCACCTCCGTGCTCTCCTTCGACACGCCTCCGTATTCATGCGGCGGTGTACTGTGCTGGGGTGGCTGGCAACCGCCTCCCTCATGACTTTTATTTTCACCCACAGACGACAAATGCAACGGCACGGACTCCGCCAGGCGAATAAACGACGAGAGCGTAAGAGAAGACCTAGAAGGCCTGAATGTCAGGCCCCGCTGGGCATCCCGCGCGTTGCCGGCCAACGCGGCATCCCCCAAGTCAGTCTCCACAGTCTTCGTGTGGGTGTGTGCCGCCACTATGGGTGAATGTGATACGCCTGCCGAGCTCTTTGGCGAAAACGAGCGTCTCGCGCACGACTCCTTCAACGGGTCTCCCTTTTCCCCCTTTTCACGTTCCTCCACTCTCCAACAAACACTACCGCTGCAGCCGTGTCGTGCGTGAAACAAGTGGTGGTACCCAATACAGCAGGAGCAGCAACACGATACATGTCGACGGTGATCTATGCCGCCGTTGGTGATGTCTACTTCCACGCCTTGCACTCGCTGCAGCAGCCACGCTTGCGCGTTGGGAGCCACTGAGGAGGCAGCGCCACGAGTCGGGCGACGATCGTCACCAATAGCGCCGCGGAGACGATCATCATCACCGTGGCCTTCGCGCCGCACATGTGGTGGGCAGCTGCAGTGGTAACCACACACATCACACGTGGAGTGGCTGCTAGCCGCTCGGCCACGGGACTCCATGCGGTGCTGAAGTCGACGATATGCCGCGGCATCCATTTGAAAACAAAAACGAAATGTTAAAAACAACCGCGAGGAGACAAACGGGTGCGGGGTGACCAAGAAGGAAAAACGCACTCAATACACACAAACACACAAAGACGGAAGATGAAAGAGAGAGAGAGAGAGAGACTGCTCACGGTCCCTCCTCTCCCGCCCTATTATTATTATTATTATTATTCCTTCTTCCCGCCTTAATACAAACAAACCCCACTTATCTCTCTTTCTCTCTCTCTTTTTCTTGCTCTCTCCTCTAACTGTCTATCTATCGAATCTATCTGTGTATGAGAAAAAGAAGGGTGTGGCCAAGCGACAAGCTGCTTACACTTCCCCTCTCCTTCCTTGTGTGTGTGTGTATGTATTTATGTATGTGCAATGTATGCACCGTCTTTTCCCTCCCTTTTTTTCTTTTTTCTAAAGTGTTCGTTCGTGCCCGCGAAATTCCGTCCCCTTTCGCTGCCAGTGAAAGAACACACACACACACACAAAAAAAAAGAAAAACAGGCAGAAAGACGGGCAAGCAAACATGACAGATGGACAAGAGGACAGTAGTCATAAAAAAAACAAAAAAAACAAAAAAACCGATCACCGTACTTGCCGGCCCCCCGCAGCCCATCATTGCAAGACGTTCGGCGCCGTCGCCATCGGATCCCTTCAGATGCAAACAAAATGGCCAAATGAGGCACAACGACAAAAAAAAACAAACAAACAAAAAGAGGGATAAAACGCGCGCTGCCTCACACAACGGCAGCACCTTCTCAATTATCACCCCGACTTAACTTTTCTCTCTCTCTCTCTTTAATCTCCAACAGCGATGTGATTCCTCCCCCCCTCCCTCCCTTTCCTTTCGCCTCGCCTTATTTCTTCGTCTTTTTCTGCGCGGCGGTCGCTTTATTCAGCACGTCGTCTGTGTTCATCGCCTCGGGGAGAATCACGAAGCGGATGGAGTTCCCCCGCACCACGTACGTCTCTGCCTGCACCGGATTTTTCCCCTTTGCCGTGATCTTCACATGACGCATGTGCGTGTTCATGCTCGGTTCCACAAATGTGATTTCACCAGAGACGATGGAAGAGTTCAGCAACTCAATCTCCACAAGTGTTCCCCGGAGCTGCTGGAGGAAACCAATAAGCGTGGATGACTCCGCAGCAGGCATGATTTCCGTGAGAATTCCACTCCTTCTCCTTTTCTCTTCCTTCTTTTTTTTTTTTTTATTTTCTCTCTCCCTCTCTCTCTCTCTCTGTCTATACGTACCCCTTTTTACGCAAAGATGTCTAATTCTCTTTTCCCCACCCCCCCTTTTTTTTTAAAGGATTTCCTTCGGGACGCCCAATAATTCCCCAGCCACCACCACCACCACCTCCTCGGTTCCTTTGCAGAACGCCAACACATACAGAGAGAGAAACACACAGAAAAAAAAAAAAAAAGAAAAGGATCGTGGCAGGGCAAAGGACAAAATACACACAACAGCAATAAAGCAGGAGAGCGGGTATTCGGGACCCCGGCGGATGTCACAACGTAAGCACACACTCATGCCCATAAAAAGACACAACTCCATCTCTCGTTTCTGTTATCGTTGCCCCCCTCTCTCTCCCCCTGTCTGCCTCTCCGGCTAATCAGCCAATGTTCTTATTAGTTTGCGTGTGTGTGTGTGTGTGGGGGGGGTAAATTTATTATTACGATTATTATGATTTTTGACGCCTATGAATCTCCTCCATTCCCCGTTTCTTTTCTCTTTCTCTCTCTCTCTCACGTTCTAACGATATGTTTTTTTTTTTTTTTTTTAAGACCAAAACAACAAACAAACAAACAAACAAATGCGAGAAGTAACGTCTTAACGAACACTTCTGGTTAAACATGTAAAAATAATACAATCAACAACACAAAGAGTGTGCAATGAGGGGGAGGGGGAGGGGGAAAGAAAAAAAGGGAAAAGAAAAAAGCAAATGAAAGTTAACAGAAGGCAGACACGAAAAAATCAGGCACAAGAAAAAGATAGCCTGCGTACACCAAAAAACAAAACAACAACAACAAAAAAAAAAAAAAGAAAAAGAAAAGAAAAGAGATTTTGCGTGTACGCATGGGTACATGTGAATCCAACGGACCAACACCAAACAAATACAAACCCAACAACAAAAACAACAATAAAGAAAGAAAGAAAAAAAGAGGAGTTTATGCAGTCAACGCCAAAAGACACTTCTTCGTGTTTCTCCCATTAATATACATAAATTTATATGTATTTATGCATATGCGTCTCACCTGCACCCTCCTTCTCTCGGCTCAGTGCTTCACCTCGTATTCATTGGGGGCGGCCGCAGTGATGCGTGCTGCACTAAACCTCTGGTGTTAAACTTCGACTCATCGCATTGAGATCACTCCCGCCGCGGGGCATCCCCGTGGCGCTGTCCATATCCGCATCTTCTAACTGTTCCGTGTTCGACGGCGCCACGTGGGAGCTGCCACGTCGTGACGACGTGTGCCGAAGCGATGTGTTGCTCAGCAATGAGAATAAAATATCAAGTCCAAAGTTGTGCTGATTGGGAAACGACATCATCTGCGCAGCGTCGGTCTCCATCATCAAATCAACTTCATCGTTCACACATTCCAGCGCCTCCCTTTGAAGCATCAACTGCTCACCATACCCGTTCATCACTCCATTTTCACCGGGGCCTCTTCCTCTGAACGCCACCGCCACTTCTTCTCCGCTGAGTATATTGACAATCTCCGGAGTCTCATCCTCCGTAAACGTGGCGGCTGGCTCCTGTTTTTGTTCCTGTTCCTCGTGTGATGGGGCGAGACTGTCATTCACTTCAACAAAGGGCGTGACTGCGGGTTTCTTGGGACGTGAAAATTTCTTTGGCAGATAAATCACTGAATTCGGTACCACCGCCATGGAATTGATAGGAGCCACAGTGATTTCTAGGGTGGCTATGCTGCTGCTGCTGCTGCTGCTGCTGCTGTTTCTGCTTCTTGTGGCGGTCTCCACGATGACCGGCAGGACCTCCTCACTTGAGCGTCCGATGCGCGGGGATTCACCTCTCATCCCGTCCAGGGCTTTCGCTCCAACCATCAACGAGGCATCTCTCACGGCTGTCCGCTGCGGGTATCGCCCTCGGGCAAACAATGGCGGGAGCGACGGCGTTGACACGTCTGGCGTGGACCACGCCTTAAACAGTAGCACCAACATTGGGACGAGACCAACAGAACTGCAGCAGAGAACCGTGTAGATGCCGTACCGCAGTTGCCCGGTCCATTGCGCCACGTACCCGCACACCATCGGGCCGCTAAAATTACCCAACAGATTATACATCATCTGCGAGAAAGCGGCGCCTGCGGGACGAAGATGTTCAGGGACAGACGTCACCACCATTCCGCTCCCTGGAGGAATAATGGCGCCACCGCAAAAGAGCACAATGGACATAATAATCAAAAAAGTAATCGTATTGGTGACAAAGATACACATTACACTAAAAAAGGCGGTCACAAAGCCCCATGCACAGATAAATGTTGTCACACGTCGTAAATTTCTCTGGTATCCACCGATGCGATCCAGCAAAATTCCACCTGCAATGACGCCAAGCACAGGAGCCGTCACAACCGCACCGCCAAACCCTAACATAATCGTTTTCATGGATGCATTAAATGGATCGTCACGAAGATACTGCGTCAAAAAGTTCTGCAGTCCGGTCACAACAAAATACAGGGAACACATGGAGAGTGTACTACACATATACTCCTTATTCCGAAATAGAGGAACACAGGATCTCCATATCAACAAAAAGTTAGAATGAAGAACATTTAAGACCCGCTCTGTTGCACTCATGTCCGCCAAAGCAGATGTAGCAAATGTAGGTGCCGCCTCGGTCCTATTTCTACGAGGCCGATCAATGGAGAAGGAGTCTACTCGCATAAGATACGCCATTGCTGGTATTGTAAATATACATTTGATATAGAATGCCCATTCCCAATTTATATTGGTATACGATGGCAGAAAGGCACCACATGTATAGCCAAGCATAATACCAAGTGGCACTCCAGCATTATGTGAAGCCATCCACACCGATTGACGATCACGTGGAGCAAATATATCCACCCACACAGGTGTATACACTATAACAAACGATAAGGTAATCCCAATGAGAAACCTACAAAGCAAGGCAAAACCGTAATTTGTTATCGTCGCAAAGAAAAAGGTAAATGCTGTATGCAAAATAAGAGAGCATACCAACACCCTTTTTGCGCTATAATGAGAAAACATGTGGCCTGACAGTGGACAGCCAAGAATATTGCCAAGAAAGACACTGGAGCTAAGCGTTCCCTGCCGTACTGTGCCCAGACCCCATTCCTCTGCAATCCCGTTCTCTGCTCCAAGTGCCGCACTAAATGCCCCCGAGTCAAACGACCCAATCGTTTTAAGTACAGTGAAAAGCAACAAATTACGACTAAGCAGCGAAATGCTGTTGGGAAGGTCGGCGTCAAAGGAGTCATTCTGGTGGATGTCCGGCTCTTGCGTCATTGTGGCCAAATCTCCCTTCTCCATGGTATCCCACGAATTGACCAACATTTCACCGGAGTCTCTCTTTGCGTATGCCTTCTGCATAACTCCGCCTCCGTGAAGCCTCTTCCTTCTCTCCTCACAACCACCACCAACACCGCCGCCGTCTCCCTAACAAACTCTTCCCTCCCCCCTTCCGCTTCCTCTCCCTTTTCACCACCACCCACCACCCACCCTTAGCAAATGTTTATTCCCTCCAAGCCTCAGTAATAATATTTATCACTACTTCCACGTACGGCTTATTGGAGTATATAAATATAAATATGTATGTATATATATATATATATATATGTGTGTGTGTGTGTACTCCGCCTTCTTTTTTCCTTTTCTACTCCCTCGATTGCCCGCACACGCCGATGCAAAACAAACAAACAAAAAACAAAAAAAAAAAAAACAAAAAAAAGAAAGGGAGCTCCGATTTCGTTCTTTTGATTGTTTCTATTATTTTCTCAAATTTAACCTTAAAAACAAAACCCGAAAAAAAAAAAAAAAAAAAGAAAAAACTAAGCGCAATAAAACGAGAAGTAAATTTAATGCAACAGCAACTACAAAACAATCAAAGAGGCGGCAGCTCCAACAGGCAAAAAAAAAGGGAAATTTTTTTTTTTTTAAATACTTCAAGAACACTGTGGCTATTGTGTCTCTAATTCCGTGCACACCCACAGTACCTCTTTCTAGTGAAGACGCCAAGGCAACAGAGCAGCAAAGAGGAAAAGAGAAAAGAAGGAAAAAAAAACAAAACAAAAAGAAATGTTCTTCAAATTGGATGCAGCGTATTTTTGTTGTAACCACATCAAGGCATAAAAAGTAAAGGAAAAAAGAAATACGGAGAGAAAGAAAGGACTTGTCTAGCTGCTGCGCCACCTGTGTTCACGCGGCAGCTTCGTATACGGCATGGGATCCATTGGATGCTCGCCAGGGTCCATCGCCTCGCGCTGCGCACCGAGGCGGTAGAACTTGGGTCCCTTCAGTATAACACCGCCCTTCTTCTTTTCATAGCGCCAGTCGATATCTCCTGTTTTTTTGTCACGCACATGGAAGTTGCCATCCATAAAGTAATCTGTGCTTCCCTCCGCATCCAGGTCATGTACAGTGCCATTTCCAATTCCCCACTGAAAGCTCAGCGCCACGGCATTACCCTTTTGTAGGATCTGTCGGTCTGTCTCGTTACCAGCCGCCATTTCACCCGCCCCCTGTCGGCTGTACTTTCGTCCCAACACAAGGTTCAAGGGGAAGGTGCGGGCGTACGTGGGGTCATACGTCTTCGCCGCATCAAGACGGGCCTGGTGAACAGTGCGGAATGGATCTTCGTACATGTCTTCGTTGATGGCCTTCCATAACTCATTTTTATTTGGATGTGCCAGGGGACGTCTAACAGAATGACTACTACGGCTACTATCGCCGTCTGTTGCTGTGATGGCCGACTCCTTCGTCGAATGTGCAAACGGTGCGGACTCCGTATTCCCCGTGCTATCGACGGACAGCTCTGATCCATCTATGGCGTCATCATCACTAAACCCAAAGACATTTGTGGGTCGATTGGCCGTGCGCTTCTGACGTTGCAGCAGCTCTCGGCCTTCACGCTCCTCCACGTCATGTTTGAACTGCGCTATCATATTTATTAATTGAGACTTCCGCTGCAAGATGTCTTCACGTTCCTTCAACTCATACTCCGCCTGCCGTTGGGCATCTGCCTCAATCTGCCGTTCCTTTAGGGCAGTCAACACCTCGGCACTTGTTTTACCCTTTGCTCGCATCTCCGCCGCCTCCTGCAGGAGGGCGCGTCGCTGTTCCTTTTCTCTCAGGTCTCTTTCCTCCTTCATTTCCCTATGTGCATCGATTAGCCTCTCCCGTTCCTTCTCCATCTCCATAGCGGCCCTAAACCGCACCTGGGCCTGATGCACGCGTTCCACGTGACTTCTTTGCAGCTCTGTTCGCCTCGATTCATCTAGGCGTGCATTCTGATCGAGAAGTTGCTTGTAGACCTCCGCAGCGTCATCCAGTTTCTTCACGTACTCATCATCTTTTGCTGCCTGCAGCTCCGCCCAGTGCTGCTGACCTGCCAAACCATACTTGCTCTTCACGTTGTACTCCACCTCCATCATGTTCAGCCTCAAGGCATGATAGCGATTCACCTCCTCGTCCGAGACATCCGGCAACTCTGCGCTCTGCAGCTCGCCCTGCATTTCACCACGTTTGATTGGACCTGCAAATCGAAGCTCTCGCTTCTTGTCATACACCCACCGCATGTAGTCGCTTGGTTCTCCTCTCAGAGCAGCCGATATCTCCCGCGCGGCGGTCTCCTGTCGGGCTGTGTCGCCACTGCGGTAGTCTGCATCAATCTGCGTCCACACGTCACGTAGCCAGGCCATACGCTCCTCCAGAGCGACTTTCATTTCCCGCAGTGTTGCGGCAGTAAACTTCGTTCCGGTGGATTTTAACCGCCTTTTCACTGCATTCTGTATCTCAGCCCTATGCAACTTCGCTGCGGCCGCATATCCTCGCTCCACCCGCTGATCAAAAGCCTCGTAGCGTTCCTTCAGTCGCTTCTCCTTGACGTATGCATCGAAGGAAACGTCTTCTCCTGCTTGCCATCCTTGCATAGTCGCAAACTGCTCAGCAAGTCGTAGACGACCGGAGTTGATGCCGCTGGAGAGCCACAGCGGACGCGAGACTCGTTGCATCTTCTGCTTCTGTGTGTTTGTTTTGCTTCTTCGCCACACCACAAATAGACAGGAAAAGAAAGGGGGAAAGAGAAAAGCAACACGAAATCAGCCAAATGGTGGGCTTCTCTGCAGACCATTTTCTTCACTCGCCACTGTTTGTTCCTCTCCTTCCCACCCACTCTCCCCATACCTCCCAGCGAAGCCAAAATAAACGAGGGAAAAAAAGAGATCACAAAAAAAAAAAAAAAAAAAAGAAAAAAAAAAAAGAAAAAACAAACAAACAAAAAAACACACAGACAGTATCCCTCATGTTGGCACTGCTGTTCGTACCATGGGGATGCACATATATATAATATATATATATTTATTTATCATTTGCTTAACGGCGATGATGCATTCCATCGGAGTTGGTACACCGCAGCTGGCTTCACTTCACTCACGGCCTGCGGTGGGGCAATCCATGATGTGGCACCGAGTTCATGTGCCACCGCATCGATTTCGCGAGCCTCCTTTTCACTCAGCGCCTTGTAGGCCGGCGATCGGCACACCTCTGCATACCCCAGTACAGCAGTAAGGAGGGCGGTTTCCTGCAAGAGTGGTGCATGGTACTTCCTCCCCAAGGAGTAAAACTGCCCCGCCGTGTCGTAGTTCACTTCCTCCCGCGCCAATATGGACTCACAATACGCCTGAAGCGGCGCAACGTCCAATAAATGGGACCCCAACAGGGTCGCAAACACCGCTTCACGCGGTACAGTGAGCCTTTGAGTATATAAAAAACGCAAGAGCGGTTTAACGGCCAAATAGGGCACAGACACAGGTCCCACCAGAATATCTCGCCGCGTCTGAGAAGAGCCACGACCAGCGCTTCTCATTTTGGCAGCGACAGGACCCACCTGAAAAGTTGTTTTTTCTCCACTCACCAAAGGTCTTAGAAGGTCGTTAAAGAACGAGCTCGCGGCCATAAGAATAAATGGATGAAGAGAATAAACACTCTTTTGTTTGGTATGAGGATCAACAAACAAAACCGTTGCGGTTGCAGAATTGGAACTCTCTAGAAGGGATAAGAGGTCCGCCTGTAATTGCCTTGTACTTCGTTCATGAGCCTGCTTAAGTTTCTTACGACTACGTGCGAGCAATGCATCGCAGATATCCATGAGTGGATTTAAATCATATACATCTGCCGCGTGTCGTAAGGCCTGCAAAACTTTCGCCTCCTCCTGCATGGCGTCTCCTTGCCCAGAGACATTTGCGTCCTTCGTATACTCTTCCTCTTCCTGCTCCAAGAGAATGCGGTGTCGCACGTCTCCCCAGTAAATATAATCCAGCAAACACTGCAACTGTTCCGCGGACAACGATACCGAAAGTCCCTGAATTCTCGAATTGCCCTCCGTAAAGTACGCAACAGCATGACTCGGATGTGTTTCACCCGCCGCCGTCGATGTTGTCGCCACTCCCCCTGTTGTTGAAAATACTGGCGATGGTGTGAATGCGTCTTTTAAGGGATCCGTCAAATCAAGCGAGGGCATCGCGCTGCCAGTTCCAGCCGGCTTTACATGTTCCATGCGACAACGCTTGAGATCCTCCCAAAATTTAGGTGCACGTTGCTGCAGGAAACCACGATGCACACCATACGGCCGGTTACTCAACGTATCAATTCCTGTTTCCCCATCCCAGCTGCGCGGTATGGCGTAAGTGTCAAACATGGTAGAGATACTGGCCTCGCGTATGTGGCGCATCATGGAGGTGAGAGCGTCTGCGTTCGATTTTGCCCACGAACGTGAGTCTGTTTCAAAGTATCCATCCGCAGCAAGGAAGCGTACCATTGAGTTTGACGCGGGCTCGCTACCAGACACCCCTCCAAAAACATGTACAAATCCACCAGCAAAGGCAGCACCAAATGATTTCCTATTGGGGGCCACAATGGAGACATTTCCCATTGCCACAGGGATCCAACATGGCGAGTCGTTACCTTCAAAAGGCAACACGGCGACAAAATTATGGTACTTTAGCGTGATACGTGTACTGTGACTACTCGCACTACATCCACCAACCACCAACAAAGCTTCTCCACATGCAAAGAGATGATGTTTTTCCCTAGGAAAGGAGTCTGCAGTCCTGCCATTGTGAAGCAAGACCCAATGCTGTTTTCTAAGATCCAGAAACCAAGTGTCGCTCAAAATGACCCCACCGTCGCCCGTTCCTCCATTAATATACATGCAGTCACCAAGGACACAGGCCGCATGAAAGAAACGATTTGCAGGCCGTTCTGAAAACACATTCGTTAACTGTGTCACAGATGGTGCGGCGGGTAGTGGGGTCTCCTCGGGTTTTCTGTTGTTTAAAATGTTTTTCCCGTCGCCATTCAGCCCCATGGTTTTCCCCGCGTGGATTCGCCTCTTCCATTTGCGGCTGGTCAATGAAAACACGTAAACATCCGTAGAAGCCACTGTCACGTGTTGTGTACTTTGTGAATCCCCTTGATCCCGCTTTGGCGTTTTTCCACCAAAAATGTACAAACGATCCTCCCACGACACCATCGAGTGACCAAAACGAGGTGTCGGCTCGTGCTTGCTCCGAGTCGAAGACCCCCCGTACTCCCAAAGACACGTCCACTCCTGGGTGAAGATATCGTAGCAGTAAAGATCGCCAAGGATACGCGTCCCACGGTCTGTTGTCCCCCCACTAATGTACAGCCATCTTCCTCCAGAAGCACATGCCGCGTGGTTCGTTCGAGGCGTGGGAGTCACACCGCCGGACACACACACGGGATCCCATGAAATATGGTGCGTGTCATACTCAAAGAGAGACGCAGTTTCACCTTCCTCGATTTCCATTCCACCAAAGAGAAGCAGCTTTTGGCCTTGCATTGGGGTCAGCGTGTGTCCCCAACGGGCGCGAGGGGTGATGCCTGCAGGGTTTATGTACCTGGCACACATGATGGGTAAAAAATTCACTTCTCTTTCTCTGTCTTCGCCTTCGCCTTCGCCTTGCGCTAGCGGTTCCTTCGAGAATGACGTTGTGGGCGGCTCCTTTTCCTCCCCCTGTATCTGTTTCTGCGACGTCAACTTTGTTTGTTGGAGCCCTTGTTCATCGTTTTTTGGTGGGCTCGCGTTGTTTACTTTTCCTTCCAATGGCATTCGTTGAAGTGAAGCGCCCACCGCACCTCCAACGAGTTTAGGGCGAAGAAATGTCTTTTGGGAAGCCGTGACCGGACTCTTTACAGGGCATGAGGCATCTCCAGTGATATCCACTGTGTTCACTGGGGGGAGACGCTCCCACAGGGGGACCACCGCACGTCGACTGTCGTTTGTTGTGTTCGCATACGTGGAGAACTTTGATTGCCCAAGATGACCAGCGTAGCGGGAGACCGCAACATCCACGTTGCTTGAACCCCGCTTTTTTGGAGAAAAGGGCCTTTCATTTTCTTCTTTAGTTGTGGTGGGACTACCGACGACGCCTTCCAACTCCTGCAGGAGTGCCTTGATTTCACTGGCATCAACTGAATCCCGCATGAGAAATAAATAATAACACAAACCCTCTCGTGTAATGTACAACGACGTGTCCGTGTAATGGTGATGCAAATGTGTTTTCCTCCTTTACCTTCGGCTTGTTGCTTCCACCTTTCTTTTTTCTCTTTTTCTCGTTTCCCCCCCCCCTTCCCCTTTGTTTTTTTCCTTGAAAAAAAGAAGAAGAAACAAAAAAAAAAAAAAAAATAATTCCTTTTAACTCGCTTCTTTACCGGTTGTGCACCGACCGCAGATATATGGAGTTACGTTTACGTTGGGTCTTCCTTTTCAATGTAAACTGCGGGGTGCACAACGTCTTATTACCGGTCTTGTTGTCTTTACCAACGGAAGGCCCAAGCTGCCAAAAACAATAAAAACAAAAAAAAAACTGTACCTTTTTCTTCTTGTTCCTTCCTTCTCACAATAAATGTTTGTGTGTTTGTGTGAGTTCGCCTTCCCAACCCGACAAGAAAGAAAATAGGCGAGTGATAGAAGCAAAAGAGGTGTGGGGAATGAGATGGGGGATGATAAAAACAATAATGAAAGAAACGCGCATATGTGTAAAACCGTTGCAAGTGAGGAAGCATTTATTTGCCAATGAATTTACGCGCTCCATTCCTCTCTCTTCCTTCTCCTTCCGAATATTCATCCATGTAGCCGTACTTACCGTATATATTGTACGTGTGCATGCACAAAGAGAATATATATATATATATAAAGAAAAAAGAAAAGAGTAAAATGGAAAATGCAACTAAATAAGCAAGGAATGCATTTCTATTTTTTTTTTTTTTTTTTTGTTTTCCCTCCCTTCCTGCTTCTTCTTTCTTTCTTTCTTATAAAAAAAGAAAAAAAAAAAAAAAACACGCTTGTTATCTCCCCGCCAGGCCACATTTATTGCAGAGGAGTGCAGCATGTGAAGACCTCTTGGCCTTTCTGCAGGGCTTGAGTAATCTTTTCAACGCCGTCATGGGACGCGTACTCCACCACAACGCGGGGCCCCACCAATAAAATGTTGGAAACATCACCAAAGCGCGCAAACTCCTCCCAAATATGTCGTTCGTCCGCCTTCTTTTTGTCCCCGTCCTCACTTTTCTTCAGTGTGGCGATAAAAACACACTTGGGTGGTTCAATCTTGCTATTCCTTCCTCGGATGGTGTTGATTTTGGTGCAGTCGTCAACATTGCTCAACATCGCCACACCAACAGGCTTCCCGGCAACCGTGATGACAGGTGGTGCGTCTTGTGCCCAAGAGACGGTGCATGGATGCTGTGATGTCGATTCGGTTGATAACGGTGGTGTAACATGACACGCTCTTGAATACATGGGAGCCACAGGAGAAACCCCAGAGACTGCCATTCCCGTGTCTGGCGCGGCTGCCACGTCTGCTTCACCTGCCGTTGGGCATAACTCCACGGCAACACCATCGATGATGACGGATGGGTAACTTTGCGTGAAACACCTTGACGCTGCCTCCAATGTATCGTACAACACCGTGAAGGTTGCACTCCGTGGCTGGACATCACACCGCAGGACGGAACCAAACTGAAGCAAGTAGTCCATGAGGGACCGCTTGTCGATAGAGAATCCAATAGAGTACCGCCCCATTAACGCCCGTGTCGGAGGGGCGGGTGACGGTACAGCTGCCACCGCTGGATAATACGATCCACACTGTGCAGAAGCAGCTGACAAATGCGGTGGTAGAGATGTGGCTCCCACTCCATTGTAATTGGCCGCGGGGGGACCACTGTTTCTGACGTGTGACTCCTGGTTCTCGGATCGGTACCGCCGTCGCGATCTATGGCTGTTGACCTGCGGCAACGAGTTCTGCGATGAGGCGGAAGAGCTACTGGAGTCGCGCGACGACTGCCTTGAACGGCGATGACGCCCGCGCTTATGGTGGTGGCGGCCCGACTGCGGTTGTCGGTGATCAGCCCTATTGTGGCGGTGAAACTGCTTCTCAAGAAACTCGCTGCGGCGTCTGTGCGTCCCACTGCCATACATGGCGCTGGGTGAGAGGGCCAATGCGTCCTGCTGGTGTGCTCGTTCCAGGTGCGTCACAATGGCGGCGATGGGGATCTGATGCACCGGATTCAGCGGGCAACGCATGTAACCTTCCGGGAGAGGCTGCCGCTCGGCACGATGCTGCAACAACCGCTGCATCTTCTCCGCAAACGTCAGCGAAGAGGGCGCACCCACCATTTCCCAACCCTTTCGCGGACGACAACAACAAAAACAACAGCAGACGGCAGGGAAGGAATGAGACCGAAAGGAAACGGCACGCCCACAGCGGGGAAGTTATGTCGTTGCAGCGGCACCTTCCTTCCAAAAGAACCGATCCGTTCTCCCACAGAGATCTTTGTTTTTTGCTTTATATATATATATATATATATATATATGTGTGTGTGTGTGCTTCCGGCTCAGCTTCGCAGGAGGCAGGAAAAAAAAAAAAAAAAATAAAAACAAAAAAAATAAATAAATAAAAGAACAGACCAGACATCCCCCACAAGGCAATGGCAGCGGCAAATGGTGCAGCCAGCATGCCCATGCTCCAAATGACCAATACAGGTGGAATACGGCGGTACATTGCAGCAATTAAAGAAATGGTACGTGCGTGTGCGCCTCTTCCTTTTCGCCCCTCCCTTCTGCGGGCAATGGAGCATACGAAGAGGCAAAAACAAAAACAAAAACAAAAATCCGGACGGCCCCTCTCCCCCTTCCTGCATGACGCGCTGATTGGGTGAATGAGTTACGGGCAATTGCACGACCATTGATAGCACACAATGCAACCGGCACGATACACCAGCGTAGCTGATGGTGCCTTTAATGAGAGAAAAGGAGGAGGAAATGAAATAAACAACAGCAGCAAAAAAAAAAAAAAAGAATCAAAAAAACAAAAAAAACAAACAAATACGACAGCAAAAAGAACAACAAGGAAACACATGCAAAAAAAAAAAAAAAAAAAAAAAAAAAAAAAAAAAAGGAAAAAAGAAAAAAAAAAAAAGAAAGAAGGTGCCACAAAAGCAGTTAAATTCACAGTCGATACCTTCACGCCGGCACCGCAAGAGCACTCCACGCCCACAACAGGCACACCACTTTAGGCGGCCAGAAAATCAACCCGCACAACAGTTGACTCCTTGGTGGGTGTGGAGGCATTGCGGAGGCGCGGCGAAACTGTGGCCTGACACTTTCCATTCATTTTTTACTGTTCGTTATTATTATTTTTTCTCTTTTTTTTTTTTTTCTTTTTTTGATTTTCCGTTAAATTGTTGATCCTTTTTTTTTCTCCTTTTATTTATTTATTGCTCATCCTTCTACGCCACCGCCCCTCTCGCGTTACCTTCTCCCCGTGTGTTGCCTATCACGCCTCTGCCTTTGCATTCTTCTCGCGACCTCTTCTCCGTATGGTGTTCCCCTGCGTAGCAGATGCCGGTGCAGGCATGTCGCTTTCCTCCTCGCCATGACTCCCCGCGGGTTTTTTATTCCCCGCCCCGGGGGAAGACCGCGGCGCTGAAGGGGCCTTCCGCACATGCATGAGAGCCTCCCACACGACCCCTGCGAATGCCACGAGGAGTGCTATCCACTGCCCAATCGCCACCTGGTGGCCGTGGACCACAACAGACAGCAACACGCTCCCGGACTTGCGCAGCAGCGTTATGGCGGTCAGTGTCAGGGAACCAAAAAATGAGATGACGCGGAAGATAAAAACCTGCCCGGTCGCGTTTAGGAAACTCATCTCCAAAACATCCTTTAGGGCCTCCGGGTAGCGTTGGAAGAAGTGCCATGTGCGCGAGAGATCCTTCAGCGGGGCGACCTCGCGAAGATACCAGCGGAGGCCGGTGTCGAGGGATAAAAGGGCGGAGGCGATCGCCGAGGTACTGGAGAGAGCCGTGCTTGTCAGCTCCTCCGCCTCGAGGATCACAACAGCCAGTGGGTGTAGTGCCTCCAATGCAAGGAGCACGAGCAACAGCCACGTGCCGGTCGCAAGATTGGTATAAAACATAAGCCGATTGCCCCCCCATCCCAGCCGCTTGACGAGTACATCCTGCGTGGAATTCGTAAATCCATCCGTGAGTAGGCTAAAAAACAGCAGTAAAAATCCCAACCAAGAGCTTAGCGCCGCGCCATCATGCTGCTGTGTCTCCTCGTGCCGAGAATGCTTCTCCCCCAGCAAATAAAAACAAAATACACCACCTGTGGTTATGGCGCAAGCTGCACATTTACTGAAAGAATAACGCGTGCCGTGCCAAAAAAAACCAACCAACATGACAGGAACCATCTTTGACATTTTCGTGGCAAGCACAACGGGATACGGCAGACGTCGCATCGCCGCATAGCTCAAACTGGATCCGAACGCGTTCGTAAACCCCATTACTGCCGTCATGCGGAATGCGGCAAGGCGCCCCGCTTTGGACATCTTTCCTACCGATCCCGTCCCCGCCGAGTGCGCAACATACATGGAATACATTTTTTCTACAAGCAACAGCAAAGCCCCAACGAGCGTCCCAGCAATGGCCTGAACAAGTCCAAGTACAAAGACAGTGGACAGCTTCGCCATTTCGGCATGTTCTCCATCCGCCCTTACCGCACGGTATGGCTTCGTTACGACGCGCTCCTGTTTAATGGACCAAAGGCCAAAACAAACATAAATACCACTGACACAAAAAACAATTTGAAACATCACAAAAATAACGGACAATGGCGGGGAGGGACCTTTTCGGCTGCCGCTCGCCTCCCTCTTTGGCTTCTCGGGACTATTTTTCTGTTGCGTGTCTGCCCCAGGCTTCTTGGAAGACGCTCCGTTCGTGCTTTTCATGAGTTCCTCACAGAAGATGGTGGCGTGTGAGTGTGAGTGCTCAGAGAGAGAGAGAGACCAATTCACCCCTTTCCCCCTCAACGGACATGTACGCGTGACAAACAGACGGGGGGGGGGGGGGGGGGGGGGGAAAAAAAAAAAGGAAACACAAAGAAGAAAAGCCAGAATACATGACATCCCCCACAACCAACAAAAGACGACAA